TGGTCCCGATCCATCTGTCAGTCCGCGTTCGCCTATATCTTGGACATCGGAAACATCGCCGACTTGACGACCAGGTCGGACAATTTGGGGAACTCCGCTCGGAACGACAAAGCGGTTGAATTGATAGTTTCGAGCTTGACGCTTGTTTCGAACTATGACGTGGTGAACCTGAATATCGAGCATTACACAAACCCATTTCAAACAGCCAAGCCTCATCAGAGGGAAGGGCGAAGTGAATAAAGGCGTTATAACTCCCCAGCGTGCTTTTTGAAATCAGTCACTGTTCTGACAAGCAACTCTTCCCTTCTCCGGGGGAGGCGAAATAGTATGTAGTCGTTCCCGCTGCAGGCGCTTGGGCATGTCTGGCGAGAGCGCTAGGTCAGGTACTGAGCTATCCAGCAAGCTACAACAAATGGTGGAAAAAGCATGTCAGGGAGGTACATTGCGCGTTCCAATAAGCGGTGCGATCCAAGCGACCGGATCGCGAACCCACCCTCAGAAAGAATCGCTTCGGATGCGTACAGACTTTCCAATGACCTGGTGCGCTGTTGCAAATTAGTTCGAAATCGCGCGCCTTATTACGAAGTCTGAACATACCCTTTGCGATCGCGCGGCCATCCTTTTTTTCAGTGCGTACTGACTTACAGAAACACGTGGAATTTCGAACGCCTCTTCAAAAAAGGTATTTTTAGTGTCTGAGTGCAGTCATTTCCAAGTTAAACCTGGATGTTTCAAGTTTGTCCCACTTTTGCGCCTACAACAGGGTGCAGCATTGTGATTTGTGAAGTGGTGGTGAAGATGCGACCCCCCCCAGGAGAGGGTGTCAGTACGACCTCCACCTGAATTAGGGTCTCCCCCCCTTTCCCCAGCACCTACTAACATTCCCCCCACCCACATTTTCCAGTTTTTCCCCCAAAAATTTTCCGTCAAGTGGAGGAGGGGGGACCTCCCCCCACATCGGAGAAGTATGACCCCGCTATGTTTCACACAACGATATGCACCCTGGCCTGGAGAACTGGAAAACGGAATGCTGAGATCCTTTCTATCACTGATTGGATTATTCCTCCTGTGGGACGGCTAGGCAGCACGAGAGTCTGGATAGATATGACAAGCTTGACAGAGTCTTACCCCTCTGCGAGCATCACCCTCGTAATAAGTACGTTGCGGTGAACGAATGATGGGAGCTGAATGAGCAGCTGCCTTTCTTTGAATATGCTTTAGCACTATCGTCTGAAAGAAAAGCTTATGAGATGTTAATTCGAGAACATCTTAGCCTGAGCACTCACCTGATTAGTGTTGTAGACCCTTTGTTGGAGAGCTCGAGCTGCTGGCTGTCGTTCGTTATAAGCGGTCTCAGGAATCTGCGGTGCTTGTCCTGCTCCCTGAACTGCTGCAGCGGAGACGCCGCTAGAAGAACTTGACGACGAAGGCAAACGTAGGGCTGACTCTCCGCATTGGGACTGACACTGAAAGGAAGGAATTCCAGAAGGACAAGAAGGTCAGTCAAAAACATGAGGACTTACGAATTGAGGAGATGGAGCTGCAGGTTGGATACTGGCTAGTGCACCACTGAACAAGCTGAGCATTTGAGTGACGGCGATCGCTTGGGGTAGTCCGGCCAAACGACCGTTCACCCTCTCGTTGATAATCGACGGCAGCATACCGCATACTCGCCCAGGAAGCATTTGTGCTACTTGTCTCGAGATTTGCTGCTGAAAGACAGAAGATTGAGGGCGAAAGAGATTTGCGTTCTTTTACGTATGTTGTGAATACAGCCCCGCACTAAAGTTTAGATAGCTGAAACGTCATTAGAATGTCTTCTAAGTAGAAACTGACAGGAAAATTAGGGTCTTGAATCTAGGTTCATCTCAGCCAGGGACAGACTTTGCCCTGTCTCCGCATGGTTGTTCGTAAGAGCTAAACCCGCGAATATTC